TGATTACCAACTTGTAACGCCCTCGATGCGGCTATATCTCCTACGTGTCGGAGCACGACTTAGAGGCATAACCGCATTGAAAGCAATGTCGCAAGTAAGGTAATCTTCACAACAACCCATGTAAATAAATAATAAGGGGAGAGGTACATAGTTGGCTTACACTCGCCACGTCACACAAAGTACATAAATAGCATTACATCATCCAATGCACTCATGGTCCGACTACGATACCAAAATAAAAGATCAACCCCAACATGCGACATGGTCCCGATCGCCCCAACTGGGCACCACTACTGATCATCAGGGAAAGACACATAGTAACGGCGTGAGTCTTCGTCGAACTCCCACTTGAGATCAAGCGCATCATCTGGAACGGACTCATCGGGCCCTGCATCTGGTTTGGAAGTAATCTGTGAGCCACGGGGACTCAGCAATCTCGCACCCTCGCGATCAAGACTATTTAAGCTTATAGGTAAGGCTAGGTAATATGTGGAGCTGCAGCAAGCGACTAGCAAATATGGTGGCTAACCTGTTCGCAAAAGAGAGCGAGAAGAGAAGGCAAAGCACGAACGAAGAACTAGAGAACAACCTACGGCAAACATTACTCCAACACCGTGTTCACCTCCCGGACTCCGCCGAGAAGAGACCATCACGGTAACACACACAGTTGATTCATTTTAATTAAGTTAAGGTTCAAGTTATCTACAACCGGACATTAACAAATTCCCATCTGCCCATAACCGCGGGCACGGCTTTCGAAAGTTCAAATCCCTGCAGGGGAGTCCCAACTTAGCCCATGACAAGCTCTCACGGTCAACGAAGGATAAACCTTCTCCCGAGACATTCCGATCAGACTCGGTATCCCGGTTCTACAAGACAACTTAGACAAGGTAAAACAAATCCAGCAACACCACCCAGATGTGCCGACAAATCCCGATAGGAGCTGCACATATCTCGTTCTCAGGGCACACCGGATGAGCAAGACGTCGGGTAGGCCAGCCCAGAGTTGCCCCTGGTAGCCCCGGACATCGCTCGGTTGGACCAACACTTAGAGATGCACTGGCCCGGGGGGGGTTAAAATAAAGATGATCCTTGAGTCCGCGAAATCCAAGGGAAAAAGGCTAGGTGGCAAATGGTAAAATCAAAGTTGGGCATTGCTGGAAGAGTTTTATTCAAGGCGAACTGTCAAGGGGTTCCCATTATCACCTAACCGCGTAAGGAACGTAAAATCCGGGAACATAACACCGATATGACGGAAACTAGGGCGGCAAGAGCGGAACAAAGCACTAGGCAAAAGGCCGAGCCTTCCACCCTTTACCAAGTATATAGAAGCATTAAGATAACAAGATAATATAATGATATCCCAACAAGTAAACAATGTTCCAACAAGGAACGATCTCCAATCTTCACCTGCAACTAGCAACGCTATAAGAAGGGCTGAGCAAAGCGGTAACATAGCCAATCAACGGTTTGCTAGGACATGGTGGGTAAGGGGGTTGACATGGAAATTTGGGAAGCATGATAAGCAAGTGGTAGGCATCGTAGCATAGACATAGCAAAAGAGCGAGCATCTAGCAAAGCAAAGATAGAAGTGATTTCGAGGGTATGATCATCTTGCCTGCAAAGTTGTTAGAGTTGACTGGATCCTCGAAAGCAAACTCAACGGGCTCCTCGTTAGCGAACTCGTCTCCCGGCTCTACCCAAACAAGACAAACAAGCAAAAGGAACACAATCAACCACGTGCAAATGCTCGAACAACATGATGCAAACATGGTATGCTATGCGGGATGTGATATGTGATGCATATGCAAGATTTGACAAGGAATGATTGAATCTGGCCTCAACTTGGAAATCCAAGAGTTCCACTGGAAAGGTGAGGTGATTTCGGTTGAAATTGATATAAACAACACCGAAATCGGAGGCACGGTTTGGAAATGGCAAGCAAAACAAATATGGCACCGGTCTGCGATAAACAGCAAGTAGCCATCTAAATGCATTAAGATAAATATTCTACAGCACTCAAACATGGCAACAAAATACATGGCAGGGATACACTCATAAAGCTTGACAAAAGATGAACACTGAGCTACGGCCAATTCATCCATTAACAGGTTCAAACAAGCATGGAAAAAGTGCAAATGATAAACAGGTTTCAGACTTAGAGAAATTAACACAAGCCTGGAATTTCAGATCAGATAGCACACTTTGGAGCATGAAAACTATATGCTACAGGAACTTAACATGGCAAAGTAAAGCATGGCATGGAGCTACTCAAAGAGCTTACCAAAAGTCCCTTAGTGACCTTGAGCCAAAAGGGATCAGAAAATACAATTGCAAGCATGTGAACATGGCAAAAACACAATCAGGTTACCGACTTAGAGAAAAACTGGAACATGCAAAAACTATTAACGAGTAGGCATATTTACGAGCTTGATGCACTCGCTACAGAGCAAGGCATGACAATCTAAGCATACACCCATCAAGAATACATGTTATATAAGCTAGACATGGCAAGAACAACAACATAGCATGCACGGATAAACCACAACATCCTCGGCAAAATCGCTAACAAGTAGACAATCTGCCAGGATTCACGAAATAGCAAAAGTAGAGCTCGATTGACTCAAGCTAGAATGCTGCATAATTGCAAACAAAGACATGGATGGATAGAGCACCACAAGATTAACAAAACATCCTTACTGATCATCCTCAAAAGAGACACGGATCACTAGGAAACAACATGAACATATGGCATATTGATAGAAACAGATCAAGGACTTGGAGAAATCCTAAGTCCCTGAAATCAACATTAACGAATGCACTACTTTGCAAGCTTGTGCTAGTCACCACACATATCACAAAAATACATGGATAGCACCTCTGGAAAGATGGCAAAGTTTATAACAAAACTCATGTAGAACTCAGGAGCATATCATGCACACATTAATCATAGCAAAAATGACAAATAGCTATTTGGTGAAGCAGATCTGATAATTATCTCAAATAGCTCTCTTCCAACAGCATTTCGAGCATCAAAATGAGCTCAAATGAAAATGATGCAATGAGATGAAATGATGTACTCTCTAAGACGAACATTTTGATATGCTACACGCCCGAAACGGAGCTACGGATGCGGAGTTACGGCATGATGAAAAACACAGTATAATTAGGGTTTCGGGAGAAAGTCAACCGAGAGCAATATCCCAGATCTGGATCTGGCCGGGCGCGGAAATCGAGGTTCGCCGGAGTACTGAAGCTTGCCGGCGCGGGACTTGCCGGAGATGGAAGGCGTCGGCCGGGGCGGTTCGACACCGTGGAGGAGGCGGCGCCGGCGCGGTACGGTCGCCGGACCGCGGCGCGGTGCCGGGCGGCGGAAGCGGCGCGGTGGGGCGGCGCAGGAGCGTGGAGGCGGCGTCGGGCGGCGATGGCAAGGGGCGGCGCGGCGAGGCGCTCGGGAGGAGGAGGCGAGGCCCAGGCGCGGGACGGAGAGGGCCGGCCTTGGGCCCGGCGGGCCGGCGGCGGGAAGAGGCCGGCCGGGACACATGGCACCTCCCGGTTGGCTACGGGCGGCGGCGGACGTTGTCCGGCGCGGGCCGGACACGTCCGGTGCGCGGAGGAGCTGATTTTTTTAGGGTTAGGGGTGGAGAGATCCGAAAATTTCAGGAGTGGGTCTATATATAGGCATAGGAGGAGTTAGGAGAGTTCAAATGAAGTGCGATTTTCGGCCACGCGGTCGTGATCGAACGCTCTAGATGATGGAGAGAGTTTTGGTGGGTTTTGGGCCAAATTGGAGTGTTGTTGGGTTGCAACACACATGAGGCCTTCTCGGTCCCTCGGTTAACCGTTGGAGTATCAAACGATGTCCAAATGGTACGAAACTTGACAGGCGGTCTACCGGTAGTAAACCAAGGCCGCTTGGCAAGTCTTGGTCCAATCCGGTAATGTTTAATCCCCACACACGAAAGAAGGTAGAAATGACCACCGGAGGAGATAGGAGCGCCGGAATGCAAAACGGACAACGGGGAAAATGCTCGAATGCATGAGACAAACACGTATGCCAATGCAATGCACATGATGACATGATAAGAGATGCATGACAACGACAACAACACACGGAGACAAAAACCCGAACCCGAGGAAATAAAATAACTTAGCGCCGGAAACGGCAAGAGTTGAAGTACATATTAGGTAAATTACATCCGGGGTGTTACAACGGGCCTTGACCCATTAAGTTATTGACTCACCACATAACATAAAAAACATGTATATCTATACCAATATGAAGAGACCCAAAGATGTAGATTCAATTAATTTTGGTCATCAAACCATGTCAATCCAACGACCTAGATTGCTGCAATGGTGAGCTTCCAACATGTTGAGTATGCAATTGATAGCATATCAAATATCAATATCTATATTAATCTCATAATTAACACCTAATTGATATCCTACCTAATATCAATGTACAGTTAATTTTTAATATCAACATACATTGCACGTGCTCATTTACTAGTAACAGAAAAATAAAAGATAGCACGAATCTTCAAGCAACAATCAATGGCCACAAAAATCGACTGACTCAAATTCAATTTTCAGGTAACTTATTTCTCGAGGTTCAATTTTGACCATAAATTTAACCAACGAGGCCGACTGTGACGGGAGCAAAAATTATATAATTAAAAACTTCTTTGAATACGAATTCATTGGTATAACTTTTGCTCCTGCTGCAGTCAGTCTCGTTGGTTAAATTTATGGTCAAAGTTGAAGCACGGAAACCGAGGACACATTACATTTTGAAACGAAGGGAATAACAAAATGAATAGTGCATGACGAAGGTTCATAAAAAAAAACATAAGCATCACACACCAAAGCGTTCGCCTTTCTTTAATCTTTCTTGAGATCATTGGTTTGGCATTACACCTTCATTGGATCATCGTTTTGACGTTGGAGTCCATCCAGATCTCAGCAGGTCAGCAGCGGCTGTGCTCATCGAGCGCGGGATGGCGTCCGAACTAGCCAGGCTTGCACTGGTCTCGGCCGCCGTGGCCGCGGCCATGACCTACGCGCGCCTCGCCGCCTCGCGCTTGGGCCCCGGCCTCCCCCGCCTCGCGGCGCTCCTCCCGGTGCTCCTCCTCCTCCCCGTGCTCCCCTTCACCTTCTCCTCCATCCACCTCCGCACCATCTCCGCCTTCTTCCTCGTCTGGCTCTGCGGCTTCAAGCTGCTCCTCCTCGCCGCCGGCCACGGCCCGCTCCACCCGGCCCTCCCAGCCGTGCGCTTCGCCGCCTGCGCCGCGCTCCCCATCAATGTCCGGAACGGAGCGCTGACCTCGCCGCGGTCCCTCTCTGCCGGGTTCCTGCTCTCCTACGCGGCCAAGGCGGCCCTCTTCGCCGCGCTCGTCTCGCTCCGTGGCCTCCGGGCGAGGATGCCGGCGTACGCCGTGGTCGCGTTCGACGGCGCGCACGTGTACCTGATGCTGGAGCTCTTCCTGGCGTCCGCCGCGGCGTTCGCCCGGACGCTCCTCGGCACGGAGCTGGAGCCGCAGTTCGACCGGCCGTACCTGGCCTCGTCGCTCCGCGACTTCTGGGGCCGCCGGTGGAACCTCATGGTCCCCGGGGCGCTCCGGCCGAGCGTGTACCGCCCCGTGCGCGCCCGCCTCGGCTACTCCGCCGGCGTGCTCGCCACGTTCCTCGTGTCAGGCCTCATGCACGAGGTGATGTTCTACTACATCACGCTCGAGGCCGGCACGGGGGAGGTGACCGCGTTCTTCGTCCTCCACGGCGCGTGCGTGGTGGCCGAGCGGCGGTGGGTGCGGCGGGGCGGCACATGGCGGCCGCCGCGCGCGGCGGCGACGGCGGCCACGCTGGCGTTCGTGACGGGGACCGCGTCCTGGCTCTTCTTCGCGCCCGTGATACGGAGCGGGCTGGACAAGGCCATCGTCGCCGAGTGCGAGGGGATGCTGGCCTTGCTGGAGGCGGCTGTGCGGAGGCTGGCGGCACGCCTGGTTTGGACCTGATGGTGTACCTCACGAGGAACATGGCGGCAGCCGGCAGGCTGTACTTTGAGTTTGGCAGTTCCGCCATGGCGATTCCGATCGAGTTTGGTTTCAGCCAAGGGAACAATCACGTCGTGGTCCGTAAATCACGATCGATTTCGGCGCATTTCCATTCCACAGATGGCCAGATTAGAATCTCATCTCGCGGCAGTACGCGAATGCATTTTGGTCATGGGATTGTCATGTACTAGTGGTTGCTGTGGTGTACACTATACACCGCACAAACGGGAGCATCACAGGGCAAGAAAACAAGTTTCGTGATCTCGTTCTCCAGGCAGGCATATTATCGTTTCCCCTTTTGACACCCGCAAAGGGGTGCAAAGGACCATCGTTAAGCATCACGCGAATAGTATAGAACTCAATATTTTTTTTGAAACAGTATAGAACTCAAATTGATCGTCATTCCAAAAAATTGATCGCCATTCCAGTGGAGGAAATACTTTCGTTTATTGCCGTAGTTCCCCCCGCAAAATAAATAAATAATGCCGTAGTTTGACTATTGATCTGTACTTTTACCGTCTCTAGGCTTTAACTGGATTTTATAGCAATGCTAAAGAAACATGCACACTTGTATTGAAGATCACTTCATACATGCCTGGAACCCCAGGCTTGAGAGTCGTAATGTAACCAGATAGTATTATTGCTATTTGGACATCATTGGAGGCTTGCACGAAATCCACGTGCATCATTAAAACTGCCTGAAATGGGACCAAAACTCGATAGATGAAGGATCACTCGCTCCGTCCCATGTTTTGAGGAGCATCAGGAAAGATGGGCTGTATACCATGTGCCTGCACGCTTTTCACCTAAACAAAGCAACAACATCAAGGTCCTTGCAGGGTACACCATATCTAAGATACTAGAGATGGTCAGCAACTCTGATGGTTCATCTTCCTCCTACTTATGCTTTCGGGGAAGTTCAAAATTCACAACTTCTTTAATCCGAGGATGGGTATTTAACATGAGATTCAGGCCATTGGAGATGGGATGTAAAATGAAGTGTCGCATGGATGTGCCACTGCCGGCTGATGTTGTCTCTTGCATCCTCATGCTGGTAGGTAAGATTCTAACATGATTTGTGCGGGTCGCGGTGACGTAATCTCGACGAGAAGAAACGTGAACTTCCATGTCCTGTCGGAGCTATCTTTGAACATCTCCGCAAACACCTTTCCAGCTCCATGCGGCCCTCGGATATGAAAGCCTACCTGAAATGATGCATGTGAATTTCAACTGATCAGCCAACTTCAAAGACTTGCCGCTACAACTATGTAAATTACTACGTGAATTCACATCAATGCCATCCTAGTGTCCCTTGCTTGCCCAATTAGTAGAGCATCTGAAAGCATATAAACTTGCCAGGGTCCACTACATTCTAAAACTCTCTTTACTAGTAAGTATTATCGTTAATCATGTCTCGAGACTGATTTTAGAAGGAAAAAAAATCTTGTTTGCTTTCATCTCTGTTTCTCTCCCTATGTTGTCATTTGGAAGCTTGCTCCTGGCCAAGGGGAGTCATTGGTTCATTACCATATGCTGCTAACGAACTGTCAGAGAATAAGTGTCACCCTAACTGTTGCAGCCCCTCACGGTAAACTTGTCCATTTTCATTGACTTAGCTACCATTATCTTGATGTGCAAGCAAGCCGCATAATCAAAGAACACACGGCTGTAGAGACTAGAGACAGGAATTTATGCTACCTCCACATGTTCAACACCATCCTCATCTGTCCAAACCCTGTTTTGGATGCGCTGCCGAGCTGCACGGTTTCTGGATTCCGTACCATAACCAGTTATAGGGTAACCAATTTTGGCTGTAACCTGACAAACATGCGAGAGACCAAGTATACTAAGAGAGGAACAACAAATATGCCAGGGGACAACAGAAATAACACGAACAGCCACAAACCTGGCTATCACTCTGAACTCTTGCTAGAGCTTTCCCAAAAATCTTGTACCTGTAGAATGGTAGCAACATTAGGCAATTTCCCATTCACATTGCAAGGGAATAACACAGGCATTTTCCAGAAATAAGAATGGCGTAAACTACAGAGGCATGCTCAGGCATAAAGCAACAACAATAACCCTGTGATATGAAAAAAAAAACAGAGGCGGTAAAAAATACAAAACTTCTTACTCCCTCGGTCCCTCCGTTTCAGAAGACAAGGTGCATCAATTTTGTGAAAATCAAACATATATATGTTTGACCTAGACTACGGAATAAAATATCAACATTTACAATACAATGGTTTTCTCTTAGTATATTTATTGCTGACACATGTATGCTATTTCTTCCATTGGTTTGTACTTTGTGCCAACCCCATTGCTTGGTTGATATACTTGACGGTAGATAGTCCAAACTTGCAGCAAACTAAGTGCTCTTTCATAACCAACTTTGTTGTTGGCATATCTTGGGAGTACTTATTAACCTGGTCTGCTCCTGGTACTCAGCTTCTCCCTGAAGCTGACCAAGTAAATAACTTGACAGTGGAGATTTTGTTTAGCAGGTTATCAGTCGTCGCATACTTGATAATCCTGCCTGATTTACTTATTATCTTATGTATCTGATACTCCCTCTGTTTCAAAATATAAGGTGTACTAGTTTTGTCAAAAGTCAAAGTTGTCCATGTTTGACCAAGTTTATACAATACCAAATTTGTGTCATTAGACCCATCATGAAACACATTTTCATATTTTATTGTAGTGATGGGGACTCCAAATTTTGGCAGTAAACATGCCCATATGGCCATATGTATTATCATGTTTCTTACTAGTTGCGCTATTTGGCATCTTAGGTTCAATCAGAAAAACACAAAATACATACTCTTTTGGTTCAAATATAAGCTCTTTGAAAACAGAGTATCCAGCCAATGCAGCAACTCCAAGCCCAGCAAGTATTACAACACTGTAAGAGGCGCCCTCGACAAATGTCACTGGCTTCTCAGGTATATTGTAGGTAGGGGCATTAAAGGGATCTTCAACAGTCGTCAAGTCTGTTTTCTCCTGAGGATAAAGGTGGCAGTCTTCTATAAGCAATAAAAAAATGACCCAAGGTGGCATGCACCATAAGAAAAATATGTTCACGAAATAGGAAAAAGGAAACAACTATACAGAACCATATAAAGTTTCCTTTAAATTTAAAGTGTAGACGAAGAAATGCATGAACAATGGGCCTCAAAAACTGAAAATGCAGGTGTTAGGTGATTAATATTGTTGAGGGGAGAGAAAATACACAGTACTCAGCCCTTTTGCGGCAAACTGTTGTCAATGAATAAACGAAGAGAATAGACAAGATTCCAGAGTTTCAGATAAACTGTAGTCTATAACTAACATAATTAGTTTTCCCTATTAGATCAATAATTCATGCCTTATCAAGAAATCTTGTGTAGGTAAACGAGGAGCTTGTTATCTGATATCACAACATCAAGATGCTTTATCGGAAAGACGATTAAGCACCTAGCAATTACCTATACTGATATGAACAATGAAACAGAACCTTTTCAGTATATGCAACATCGTTCTATTCTCATAGCATTTGAGCAACTCCTAACAATCTATTCTACAAAAATAGTTCGAAAGCACATTATAGGTGCTAATGCATATGCATTGATCAATAACGATGCAGCAGCTTCCTGATGCACTGATCCCAACAGCATTTAATCTTATGAACATGAAATAAAACTAGTAAAGCTTATGCATGTGTATGCACAACTGATCATTAGTCGCTACTGCAGATGGCAATGAGGGGACAATGACATGGTTAATAGTTTCCTATATTCCACAGCCAATACATAGTTTATAGTAGCATGTTCAAACAATTGACAACACTGTCAGTCACTGCTGAAAACTACCAACGGTCATCACAAGAAACCAATATTCAATAAATTAGATCAGGGAACAGAACTAGCTAACAAACCTGTTTTGGTCTTTTTTCTGAAGCTTGTGTGGAGTAAGATGCAGATGGCCTTATGAAAGAAGGAAGTACTTTGCGGTATTCTTTACGCACTGTCAAAGGACCTGAACGGTTTGCACTGATCATATACCACCTTGAATTTTTTACAGATGATGCTGGAAGGTTTGCCAAAAGAGAACCTGCACGATATTGAAATAACTGTCAGTCCATATTTAACAACAAAGAACAGAAAAGTCAAATAGTTAGTTAACACATTTTGAATGGAAACGGGGAGCAATTCACATTGGCAGACCCAACTTAACTGAAGGATAGAACAGGCAGAACAATAATACGTAATATCCATCTACCATTAGTTTGGTACAGAAGGCAAACAAGGCAAGTTTTATATTTGCCTTCTAATTTTGCTTCTAGAGTTTCACGTTTACCTTTTCATTCTAGCTGATTTGATCAAGGGTAGAAAACTCATACTTGTACTATTGCAATTGTCAAATATTTTCAAGGAAGATTCGCTAAACAAGTGTATGGAAGCTATTCTTAATGATTCTTGTGGCAAACTGAAAAAATTACATGAATCTAAGGCATAAATTATGGATAGACACATGGTAATGGCAGAATGTGCCATTATACCATGGATTAGTTATAGCTAAAAGGTGTTAGCAGAAAACAACAAAATCCTGACTGCATTATATTCGTGCAATAGTTCTTCTGGTAAAATTGAAAATTATACATGAATTTAAGGCATAAGTTATGCATAGACACATGGTAATGGCAGAATATGCCATTATACGATGGATTAGTTACAGCTAAAAGGTGTTAGCAGAAAACAACAAAATCCTGACTACATTATATTTGTGCAATAGTTCTGGTAAAATTGAATAGCATGAACTCAAGACATAAATTACGGTGCTTTCTATATCTGTTTGCTGTACTTTAATCCTCAATTGTGTCAGAACCATTCACGAATACAAGCATGTGAAGAATGAATGTTTAAATGTATAAGAAAAATATACCATGCACAACTTCACCAGACTTTGCAAAAGCTCCCCTAAGTCCATCAGCTGCTGTTCGCTTGCCTAACCCTATAAATCATTGTTAATACTATGATAATCCAGACGTTACGTACAGCAGAAGGTTCAACATGAAAGGAAACAACTCAAACGGGGGCAACAAACATAAACTTCTAAGTGTAATAAAAGACAAAAAATAGAAAGCGGAACTATATGATGAAATACATTTAACGCATTTAATTACAACTTATGATAAATTTTAAGTCTGCACTGTTACTGCAATATCTTTAAATGGTACTCACAAGAGTGTCTATATAACTACACTGGCTTTAATTGGTACTTTCTAAAGTATTTTCTGGTTTCCATGTTATAAAGTTTCTTGTGTGCACATGTAGGATAAAGCAAGAACCAAGACTGGAGAAGTTTCAGCCTCAAGTTAAGATAACCGAATATTTGGGTTTAATTTCACAATCTCCTCATGAACTGCTCACCTATTTGGTATTTGCTAGTGGGCAACATCACTGGTCTAGTTTCTGATGCTTAGTCAATCACCACCTTCGCTGCTGGTGATGGTATGTTAAATGAAAACAATAAAGTTGACAGTGAGAAGCAGAAGAAACCAAAGATGGAATAGAGGCACCTAAAGAGAAAGTGGAGTGTTGGGATTGCTATTGTAGTTAGAATCAGGATTATGCATCCTGCAAACTGGGCCGCTGTTCTGCTAGTCCATCATTGATTCAACCGATCTTTCAGTTTCAATATGTAGTCTCAGCTCAAACAGTTGAATGATAGGATCTCAGAGGAGTGGTCAGCTTCCATTCCATGATCATGCAGAATTTTATGATTCCAAGAGAAAGATGCTCATCTAACATCACAGTGCTCTGCTGTAGGCTTTGTCACAGATAAACAGAAAACCCATAGAGTTTGCCAGGACGCGGTCTGGCGTGAGACTAAATTGAACAAATGTGGTTGGATTCGTGTATAGGTCCATCTTTATGTACCATCTAAGCAAGGTATGGAGTATCTTTCACAAGGTCTAACTCTTCCAGAAAAATCAGACAATTTCATCATATGGTTCATAGTTAGCCATCCATGGATGCAGAACAGAGTTCATTTCCTATGATGGTACACATGAAATATACCCTTTTACAACTCTCCCGCTAATTAGTTTATAAGAACCAGTTGTGCGATTAGTTTGCATCACATGAACAATGCCAGAACATGTGTATGCTTGGGTTACTCAACATAATTCATGCCTATGATTTGCAACTATTCCATGGTACCCTCTGTATGTTTTTTTTCAAGCTATTAGATCTATATAATTGAATAAAAAGGGTAATCATAAAGCACTCCGAATCCATAGAATAATGCAGGGCTTGAATAAGCAATGCTGCAACAGCACAGCTCAATATGTAAACTTTGTGAACATGCTACCAAAAAAGTTGCGTAATGTCCGAGACGCCAGCTTATATAACCAAGCCCTCACTAGAGAACTGCCCAGCCAAAACAACAGCTACCTGACCCTAGCCAATTTGTGGTAATCCCGCAAGACCAGTCCCATGTTAGCAAAGCGTATATCTCTAGATGCGAAGAAAGCTGAGAGTGGTTAAGCGGAAATAATGGAAGACGGAGAAGGGGACGGGGAAGAAAGAATCAAACCGGGAACGAAGAGGCTGGCAAAGGGATCTGCCTTCGGGGGAAGGGTCGGTGGCTTCGGTGGCACCAGGGCGGATATGGAGAACAAGCGCCGGGATCCGGACCTTGCCGCAGCCGCCGCCATCGCCGCCGGGATACCTTTCGCCGTGGAAAGGCGACCGGGGGTTATTAGGGATTTCCTCCCTCCTTCCAGGGGGTTTAGACGACTTTAGATCGTTTTCCAGTTTTTTTTCTCCTTTCTTTTTGTGATGGGATAGAGCGTTTTTCAGTTGGGCACTACGGTCGGCCGCCTCCACAGCCGTTGGATGACACTGAGACAGCCGACCGATCTATTACCAAGTCAGCCAGCCTTTGGCATAAGCACTATGTTGTGCTCGCTTGGTTTGCAACAAACACCTTGTTGCAATGGTCAAATTGTTTCATACGGTTGCGATCCGTCCGCTCTACCGCCTAGTCAGTCATAACCTTAACAATGGTCAAACGGTTTCGTAAACGCGCGCGCGCGAGAGAGAGAGAGAGTTTATGCTGGAAGGAAGAGATGGGGTTGTTGCTTCCCTTTTAAGATAAGGTCGATGGGGAAGCCATGTGTGGGGTCTACAAGGACGTGACGTGCCCTAGGGAGGCGTCGATGCCCGCGCTATTATCAGTCGGCTGTGGCTAAGCATTCTCCCTTTCCAGTTTGTTTGAGCTTTCACATCAGCTTGAAGAAAACCCCGGTGTCTAGCCCAGTAACTAGCTTCGGCTTGCTTCTACCACCAGCAGGTGGATGTATGTGCGCTAGTGACACGTATCCCTTAGATCGCTTAATAGTGTCAAAAGGTGGGCCAACCTATTAGGAACCACCAGCACTTCGCCAATAGCAGGAGCGAGAAGGTTCCTTGTTGGTTTTAGAAAATTTTCATGTGTTTCTTTTTCTTTTTTTCATCATTTTTTTCTATTTTTCTGCGTTAAAAGTGTAACTAACCCTTGGATGGTTTTGGTAATTCATAACAACATATATCTCACTGAACTAATGTCTATTCAAGATAAATATTTCAAATGTTTAATGATTGTCATGACATGGACTAGAGATGTGGACCCCTCAAAAAGCTAAGGACAAGGATTGGCAAAAGTTTAAGACTCTACATTTTTTAAGTGATCCAAGATCACATTAAGTCCATAAAAAGCCAATACTATTAAAAGGGGATGAGGTGTTGCTTAATAATCTATTTGCTCAAAGTGCTTAGTGATATTGCTCCAAAACCTTCAGGCACTTTCTCTATCCAAATATGTCCAAACCCAAATTCCCAACTCGGCCCCACCAAAACTTCTCCTAGCAATCTGCCAAAGGCTGCTACAAGAACTAGGAAGAATAAGAATTCAGATGATGAAGACGAAGACTCTGTGGCAAGTGAGGCTACATCTAAGAAAAGAGTTGTGCTAAGGAAAGAGTATGGTACTTCTGCCAGCACCAGGCCAAGTGCCAAGGACAGGACAACTGTGAGGAAAGTTCCTCTATCAAAGTCTAGCAAAGCCTCAGCTCCCAAAGAAACCATGACTTTCACACTTGAGGAGCCGAGTGATGCAGAGGCTGATGCCAGCAAGAAGAAGAGGCCAAGGAAGACAGCTGCTTGTGTCATTGGCAAACCCTCCATGATAGAAGATGATCATGATGATGAGGAGGAGGATGAGGAACCTACTGCTGATGCACCACCAGCAAAGACTCAGAAGCTCATGTCAGATGCGATTAAGTCTGCCGCTCCCTCCAAACCCAAGTCCAAGCCCAAGGCACCAACTCCCAAGATATCTACTAGGAACATCTATGCAAATGAGAAGAATAAGGCCCTAGTGCCTGAGGTTGAGATTGATGATGAGCCACTGATACGTCCATTTTGCATCATGCTTTTGTATCGATATTTATTACATTATGGGCTGTTATTACACATTATGTCACAATACTTATGCATATTCTCTCTTATTTTACAAGTTTTGCATAAAGAGGGATAATGTCGGCAGCTGGGATTTTGGGCTGGAAAAGGAGCAAATATTAGAGACCTATTCTACACAGCTCCAAAAGTCCTGAAACTTCACGGAAGACGTTTTCAGAATATATAAAAAATACTCTACGAGAGAAGTTCACCAGGGGGGCCACACCCTGCCCACGAGGGTGGGGGGCGCGCCCTACCCCCTGGGCGCGCCCCCCTACCTCGTGGGCCCCCTGGTGGCCCTCCGGTGGCCATCTTCTGCTATATGAAGTCTTTCGATGGGTAAAAAATAAGAAGCCATCTTCTCCGACGAAACTCCGCCGCCACGAGGCGGAACCTTGACGGAACCAATATAGGGCTCTGGCGGAGCTGTTCTGCCAGGGAAACTTCCCTCCCGGAGGGGGAAATCATCACCATCGTCATCACCAACGCTCCTCTCATCGGGAGAGGGCAATCTTCATCAACATCTTCATCAGCACCATCTCCTCTCAAAACCCTAGTTCATCTCTTGTATCCAATTCTTGTCTCCAGGTCCGGGATTGGTACTAGTAGGTTGGTAGCAGTGTTAGTTAGTCCTTGTAGTTGATGCTAGTTGGTTTAATTGGTGGAAGATCATATGTTCAGATCCTATATGCATATTAATACCCCTCTGATTATGAACATGTTTATGCTTTGTGAGTAGTTGCGTTTGTTCCTGAGGACATGGGAGAAGTCTTGCTATTACTAGTTATGTGAATTTGGTATTCGTTCGATATTTTGATGAGATGTATGTTGTCTCTCCTCTAGTGGTTTTATGTGAACGTCGACTACATGACACTTCACCATTATTTGGGCCTAGAGGAAGGCTGAAAGTGCATTTTATCGACTAGAGGGGGGTAAATAGGCGATTTTTATGAAATTCTTCACTGAGGAATTTGTCAGTGAGGAAATTCCTTAGCGAAGAACTACTAGCAGTGGAATAAGTACTCAAAAGTAAACATAACAGAATACAAGCATAGTCATCATGATGAAATGAAGACGGGCACAGAGTACAGGAAGCGTAATCACAGGATAACACAGGATGAAGACAAACAGACTGAAGAAATTAAACTAAGGAAATTGAGAAAGTCTTCAGTCAAAGTCTTCAAACACAGATATGAACAAGCACACAACACAGTTATGAGGAAATGAAAGAGTTGACGAAATAGAACCAGTAAGCTTGGTGAAGACAATGATTTGGTAGACCAGTTCCAACTGCTGTCTCAGTTGTACGTCTGGTTGGAGCGGCTAAGTATTTAAACTCGAGGACACACAGTCCCGGACACCCAGTCAAGGACACTTAGTCCAAGACACCCAGTCCTCACTGTATTCTCCTTGAACTAAGGTCACACAGACCTCGTCCAATCACTCGTGGTAAGTCTTCAGGCGACTTCCAAACCTTCACAAACTCGGTCACTCCGCGATCCACAATTCCTCTTGGATGCTCTAGACCATGACGCCTAACCGTCTAGAAGAAGCACAGTCTTCAAAGGTAACAAGCGTCGGATCCACTCAGGATCAATCTCTTCAGTGATGCTCAATCACTTGGGGTTTGTAGGTGTTTGGGTTTTGGGTTTTTGGTTTTTCCTCACTTGATGATTTTCGCTCAAAGTCCTCGGAGGATGGGTTGCTCTCAAATGACAAGTGTCAGTTTCTCTCGGAGCAGCCAACCAGCTAGTGGTTGTAGGGGGCGGCTATTTATAGCCTAGGGAGCAGCCCGATATGATAAGACATAAATGCCCTTCAATGATATGACTGTTAGGTGGATAGATATTTTGGGACAGCTGGCGCATAGCACAGCAACGGTCGGAATTTTGAATAGTAAAATCCTCAGGGCTATCATGTTCCTCACTGTGTAGGCAATCCGCACTGGCGAATTCCTAACTCCTCAGTCAGGATAAATTCCTCAGAGACCAGAAGAACTTCGTCTCTGTCACTGAAGAAATTGACTAAACTGTATGAGATTTTCAATGGCTTCACTCGAAGGGATTGGTAGATGTAGGATTTTGAGTTGAGCATCACATGGAAATTTTTCCTTAGTATTTCCTCGACCCCCTTTAACAGTACGGTGTTTCCTATGACTCAAGAAAGAGAAAAACAAAACTATGAAAACAAAAGTCTTCTCGCTTCATGTTTCTCGAAAGAATATCAAGTCTTCACAGACACACCAATTTCTTCACTTTCAAAGTCTTCATAAAAGTCTTCAGAAATACCAAAATCTTCAGTCGAAGATATTCATTTTTAGGGGTCGACTTCTCCTGTAAATATCAAACTCCTCATAAGCTTATAGACCTGTGTACCCTCACAAACTCATAAGCTTATAGACCTGTGTACACTCACAAACGCATTAGTCCCTTAACCTATAAGTCTTCAATACACCAAAATCACTAAGGGGCACTAGATGCACTTACAATCTCCCCCTTTTTGGTGATTAATGACAATATAGGTTAAGTTTTCAATGGGGATAAACATATGAAGTGTAACTACTGATATTGAGGAATTTGATTGCAAGATATAGAAGAACTCCCCCTGAAAATGTGCATAGTGAGGAATTTGCTTTTGAAGCAATGCACACTTGAAGAGTTGAATCATGGAGATCTCCCCTTATATCTTGTAATTCATACACGCATTTAACATATAATATGAAGAATTTGAAATGCATGATGAAATATGGTGCCTGATGAAATTCAGCATGCGTGCAATAATATTTAACGAGGAATAAGCATGCAGAATAGTGCATCAAAAGTATCCGAGCACAGTGCATCAAAAGTATCAGAGCACCATTGGGTTTAAGATTACAGCTCGATCCAATAAAGTTTCAGAAGAACGAGAGTTGTAACTTAGCAAAAAAACGCCCATATAGTAGACCCGCTTGAAGACTAACTCATATTTCTCCCCCTTTGTCATCGAATGACCAAAAGGATCGAAAATGAGGACTAACGCCCCTGAAGATAATCATGTTGATGAAGGAGCGCCAGCGTTGTTGGGGTCGTTGGTTGATGTAGGGACTGCCGCAGTGTCGTCCAAATCTTCATGTTCATCAGTGTCACGCGATGAAGAAAATGAGCCGGCCACCAGAGAAGGAACTTGGACCTTCTTGAATTTCTTCGGTGGAGGTGCAGACCAGTCAAAATCTTCTTTG